ACACTTCAAGCATAATCTTCACAAACCAATTATTTGTGCCTATGTTTTGGGCACACTGGTTGGTTGCATGAAGCACATGCATGTGACATTTTCCTGTCAGTGTTGCGTGGGCAAAACATTTGAATAAAATTTAAAAAAAAACTAATATTTTAAAACCAATGCTTCTCTTTGGGGTCATAAATGACCCCACAAGAGTTTGTGATATATACGCCACACTTATGGGTTGATCCCTACAAAAAAAACTGTGAAAGTGTGTAGGATAAGTAGACTGACAAACTCATGCAAGGAAAGAAAATTCGAATAAAAAANTAAGTGACAGCCATGCGTGAATAAAGAGCGGGGAGTGCTTTGTAGAGGAACCGAGCTGATTGACATGCTCGTATGGTATATGGTATGTGATGTAACGGAAGAGGAGGCCGATAGAGATTGCATGGGGTAGAAACAGAAATGAAGAAAGCGGCGCGGGTAACAACTGGAAAGTAGTTTTAATCTTTTTTTATTATTTATTTAAAAATAAATAATAAAAAAAGATTATAACTGAGTTGTATTTGCTACCTCGCGTAACATCAGCAAAAGATATAGTCAACAACTTCGTTACACATGCAACTCTTTTCTTGACGAAACCGCAGGAATTGGTGAGGATTCCTGAAGCATGGAGCCTTCTTTGAACAATTCTTTTTCTATTCTCAGCCTGCAACTTGCGTGATCACTGCAAAGCTAACTTGCTTCACGGTTCAAATCCCCTAAGCTTTGACAGTATAAATAGACGTCTTGTTGTGAACCGGCCGTCTAAAACGACTTTGCCTTTAATTTAGAACTGAAGTGAATTTTAGTGTATCAATTTCCATTAACGAATTAACGAATCTATGGGCTCCGACATGACTCCAGATTGGACTCAGTCTTTCACTTTACGTGCACAGAGAAGCATAACAGAAAAACCTTACATCTTCAGTCTCAAGTCTAAAAGTGTCTTTATTATGTGCATGCATTCAAATTTTATACATATTATCTACAGTGGATCTATGCGTACGAATGGCTGCTACTTATTTACATACTAATTGATGTGCAATATTAACAGGTGATATGCATCTGTCTCAGGCATAGGCCTACCTACGGGCCTCTACAGAAAATAATATTTATGTATGCAGGACAGACGCAAATTAGACAATAAAATGTTGACTATTTTGATTATACAATGTGGAATTGGTGCAGGATTCCACAGTCTGTCGTCTCTGTCATTATAGCCTTCTTCGGGTGGTCACTTCGGGGCATTGCCAGTGTCCTCCATCCTTCTGTAAACCCTGCATATAAAGTCTGACCAGACACATGAAGTCTGACCATATCTGTCGGCTATCTAGGAAACATCTAGACGGCATACTTCTTCCCACAGAGGGACCATTTCCAAACCCTAGCGTACTAACTGTGGATCGATCTATCTCCAAGTGGGGATTCTCGCTAAATTGCAATCAACTTAAGCGGGTTAGATGTCTGTCACGCCTACTGAAGCTACCAGGGGGTAATAAATTATCGTACCAGACATTAAAGCCACTTAAGCTGAGAGCAATTTAGCGAGAAGAACCTTGGAGATGGATCGATCCTGTTAGATCGTTCTAGGCATGGAAAGCCAGTCAAAGGAACAATTTATTTTCTTTCGCCATTTGTGGGACCAAATCACACACTGAACGAGGTCAACAAATCCCTTTCAGAAATGCATGCTCTATGAATTCTGTTTTTTGAAAACTGACAATGTTAACCTCTCCACTATAAGACCGCCACCTCCGCTCGAAAGCGACCCCCTCCCCCCCTCTCACCATCCATAAATGGCAGGTACAATATCACTTCTTGGGTTTGAACACTCGCCAGTCATTATAGTTAGGACAGGACAGGGTTTCAACAAAGCTGCTTAAGACGTGCGTGGCACATATATAATATATATCCTTCCCTGCGCTTTTGACGAGTCCCCCGCGTATGGAAATAAATGGCCACAACAGTACCCAAATTAAAAACTGTATTGTGCCTATCTGAACTTCGTCCGGTGGCACCAACTTCTGCTCCTATGAAAATCTTCGAGAAGCTGGCGTTATCACCCATTGTATATATAAAAACAACTAGACCCGGAGATTCGGTTACCAAAACAACTGGAATATTCGATGCCTTGTGGTGTTTATTTATTTGCTTGGAATTTATTAATGTTATTCACTTTTGTTAAGCCTGTGCGTACATTGAATGTGTACTAGTACAAAATAATGCATTACTGTAAGAAATTTAATTTGACCTTAGTAGCTGTATTTTGCACTGTAAATATATAATTACCACTGCATTTTAATGGCTGTTGTTGATTTTGTAATAAACTTTTTTATAATTTAAAATCAAATGGCCTTTAAAGCGCTTTCCTGGTGGTAACACAACCAAATATCTTAATATTTCAAGAAAATATTTTAATATTTTAAGAAAAAATGAGACCTGTCACCCTACCGAATCAGCTAGGGGGTAAAGATAATTACCCCCTAACACTTTTACTGGGCGTGACAGACATTTAAGCCGGTTAAGTTGATAGCAATTATGGATACTCCCCAGGGAGATAGATCGATCCAAATATCTGTGTAAATGGTCCTTTATAGTTATAGTATAGTATTCCTTCTATCTTAATTTTTTATATAAATGCGGTAAATTACCACCCCCCATTCTTTTACATTTTTGATTATGAAACACCTATCAACATTCCACCCAGGTTTTTAAGTATTGATTGATGGTTACAAAACCAAATCTTCACATTTTATGAAGAAAAAAAGAGACCTACTTGCTGAGGCTTTCTGTCTTTTGTCGCTGACTGGTATGGCTTCACTTTTATATACTTAGTTAAAATATACCTCCATATTATTTCGCACATTAAGAATGCAATGCGGGAAACAGCCGTTTTACAGAAATGAATTATTAAAGTGTTTGACTCGCCAATGTTGGAAAAACTGTCACTGTAAATTAAATTGAACTGTCCATCTCCTGCGGCTGTCCAATCCCCAAGTGCACTAAAATTTTGATGGTTTTCAATCCCCCCCCAAGTATCAAGCAGTTTGAATCATCCTCCCCCCCCCCTCCATGGACAG